CGGAGCTTCGTGGGGTTTCCCCCCAACTGGCTCGTTCCGCAGCTCCGCCGCCGCCTCCCTCCCCGAAAGGGGACTTTTCCCAGGCTTCGCCTCTGAGCATGTGCCGAGTGCCTTTCCACCCACCGCGCCGCCTGCTCTCTCTCACTGCTTCGTGGCACTCGCGAGGGCAGAAAGGGACCCAGGAGAGGACATGAATGCAATGCAGGGAGCCCCCCCCCCGTCGACTGTCCTTCCCGCGGACCGGCCACCGAGCAGCCCCCGCTGGGACCGTGTCCCCCCCTTCCCGTGGCTGGACCCCCGGCGTTGGCGCCCTCCGAGCCCGGGATAGAAAGAACATCGGTTGACAGACATGTTCACAAAGGGGCCTGGACCGAAAGGCATGCGTGCGTGTGGGCGCCCGCGGAGGGGGGGGGGACGGCCACGAGCCCCCAGGGGACCCTTGGCCACCAAAACCCTCTCGGGGCCATTCCTGGAGCCCCCTCGCGCGATGCCTCCGCCTTCCCTGCCACGTCCCGCCAGCCTGGCTGAGAAGCTCAACAGATGGGCTCCAAGGCCAGGAAAGCCAAGGGCTGCACGATAAAGGAGCGCCGATAAGACAGGGGCTGCTCCCCCCACCCCACCCTGTGGGTCTCGCTGAGGACAAGGAGAAAGGAAAAAACACCCACCCACACTTGGGCTGGACCCAGAACCTGGCCCGCAGGCAGCCGGCCGCGGTGGCTGGCCCCTGGAGGTCTTGTCAGCCCAGGGTCCCCCGGGAAGACCCTCGGGGTCATAGGGGAGCCCCAGCTGGGGACGACAGCCAAGGCCGTTCGGGTCCAAGGGGTCCCCCGGGAAGACCCTCGGGGTCATAGGGGAGCCCCAGCTGGGGACGACAGCCAAGGCCGTTCGGGTCCAAGGTTCTGCTCCAACCGGGTCTCTGGGAAGGCCAGAAGGCCCACCACTGCCCGCTCCTTCCTCCTCAGAGACCCAAAGCGATGAATAGCCATCCCGGCTAGGAGCCGTGGAGGGCTTGGATCTCCAGGAAAGGTACCAAGCCTCCTCTGAAAGTGGTCGGGCGGGGCAGCCATCACTTTGTCCAGTGGCCGTGGGTTCCGCAGCTTAACCCTGCACTTTGTAAAATTCCAAAGCAATTTGCCTACCATTTCTGTGGTGTTTCTGCCCATCAGGAAATGAGTGCTGGAAAAGAGTGGCCACCAAAACTCCGGAGGGCCTCCTGGCTTCTCTTAAGGAAGGGACCTGGGAATCGCTCTCCCGGTCTCTTAATCCAAACCACGTGCTTCTGCCTCAAATGCCTCCAGAATGGCCCTGGAGCGCCTACAGAGTGCCAAGATAATGACCCTTGTACTCCCATCATAAAGGCAAGTTTGGCGTGATCTGCGAAGTGTTTTGAGAAAGAGGAGACACAGGCTGTCTTCGAACAAGGGCGAAGAGGGACAGGAGGGGGTTTCCGGATTTCCCGGACACAACGTTTCCCAGCTCCTCTGAACATTGGCACATCAAGGCACTGGACCCCTTTAGAATTGTGCATGTCCGTTGAAGCTTGCTGTCGCAAAGAGAAGAAAGAGTATTACCTTCCCCCCCCCAAAAAAAATCAGAAGTGGCCATCGCGCCATCCATGTGGCCGCCTTTGCTCAGTCCCGTATGGGTCAGGCCCAATTCCAGAGAGAAATCACCACCAGATCTTAGGAAGGCTGGGAGTGTGAGCGGTGGGATGGGGGGGGTCTAGATGGTGAGGCTACAAGCCAGACTCTGCTCCATGCCTCCCAAGGAGTGGCCTGCCGTGCCCGGCAGCAGGTGCCAAGCAAAGCCTGTTAGCCCTTCAGCTGAAGGAGAGGGCCGTGTTCTTTTCCTGGCAACCGACGGTGGAGGCAGCCACCCTCCCTTTTGGCTGAGGGGGGGTGCCTGGGAGAAAAACCAGCTGCCCTAGCAGACGGTCACAGACTCCTGGAGACTCCTTACCTGCACCAGGTAAGAACAGTGGCTGGAGACTTGAGGTGAGAGCGACGGGATTCTGGCTTGGAAGAGGTGACGGTAGGAGGCAAAAAGAGGCCGGCTGGAGAGCCAAATCATCAGCAAGCTTTTAAGGACCGAGTCCACTTTCTCAGGCCCATCAACAATATTGCAGAAAAATTATAAACAAGAGACCTTTAAAAAATCCATGGGAGAAGTCTAGGATAGGTCTGCTTCTTAGCATCAGCTCCAACGCTAGCTACAAGCTGCCCTTTCTGGGATGTCCGTGTGGTTTCAAGATTCACGCCTGGTAGCGTTCAGTTGGAATTTTCCACCCAGCTCTTCAGCCAAAGAGCTGCACTTTTATTACTGGTGGCCCTAATAAAGGTAGTACAGCTAAGTGGCCCTGAGCTAGGAAAGTCCTCCTCCTGGGTGATGGGGGGGGCGGAGGCTGGGGAGTCTATTTCTAAAGCAGTGTTTTGGAGAGGGGTGAAGTTTTCTGCCGATATCAACCACATGTCATCTGCTGTGTCTCTGCTTTTCTCTCCGCGTGCAGGTGAAGAGCAATGAGGCTGGCGCTGGTGGCGTTCCTGGGTGCCTTTTGCACCCTGCAGGCCACCTTCTCCTTAAGGATCGGGGCCTTCAACATCCAGACCTTCGGGGACAGCAAGCTCTCCAATGAGACCATCACAGACTTCATTGTCCGTGTGAGTCGGCTGGGTCTTCTCCTGGTGGCTAGCAACAGCTCATCCCGTGGACCTTCTGATCTACAAATGGACCTACTTCTACCCTTCCTTGCACATTTCCCAAATATTTTGCATTTCCTCCTCCAAATGCTTCTGTGCTCCTTGGGGGCTTTCCAGAGAGCCATGAGATTTGCCACTGGAAGAATAATGACTAGCGTGGCTGTTGGCCAAGGTTGGGGGGTGGGCTCCTCGGGTATTCTTGTCCCTCTCTGTGTACCCCCCCCCCTTTGCGAACCTTCTGGCTTTGCCCAAAAATCGCTGCCACCAAGAGCCTTGCGGCTGAAAAATGTCATTGGGTAGAAGATGTTGCGGCCTGCAGGCCACGAAATACACCTGAGAAGTGGGCGGATGTCCACGAAATTTCATCCCAGTGGTTAAAACAGTCGATCCCTTGAGATACCCCCCTCCCCAAGGGGTCCTGGCTTTCCCTCGGGGCCACGTCCTGCCTGCCTTCCGTGCGCTGACCTACCGGCCTCCACGCTTTGCCCTGCCTCTTCAGATTGTGTCCGCCTACGACCTCACTCTGATCCAGGAGGTCCGAGATGCTGACCTGAGTGCCGTTAAGAAGCTGATGAACCGACTCAACGGGTGTGTTTCCGAGGAGGTGTTAGTAGGGAGGGGCCTTGACTTATCGGGGGGGGGGTACAGGACCCAACCCCGGTGTAGCAGGCAAGGCAGACCCCCATTGCCCAGGCCAACGGGGCCACAGCTTTTGGCCACGTTCTCTCCCTCCCCTGGGAGAAAACCCAAGGGATTGTGCCCCCCCCAGGGAAGCACCCTCTGGCTGCCCTGGGGAGGAGAGAGGCTGCAGCCCCCCCACCCCGGTGGGGCAGGATCCCTGCATGGGGACCCCTGGATCCCCCCCCCCGGGCAATGTGCTCCTAGTATCGGTTTCCTCCCCCAGGGCCTCCCCTCATCCCTTCAGCT